AAGAATCTCAGATCAACATCTGGGATTGAAGTTCATGGATTTTTAATTTGCTCCATGTACCAGGCAAAGTTCAAGAGAGAATAAAATAGCCCATTCTCCAAAGTGTTTCAATTTTTTGGTAGTCAGTGAGACTGGGAAGGATGGTAAGTTTTAAGGCCAAGAATTTCCATCCCAAAATACTGAGAGCTGTCTTATTAAGTACTTCTGTAAAACCTAAATGATCTCGATAATTAACAAACAGCAAGAAGAGTATTGAGGACACAAAATAAATTAGCAGGATTAGAAAGATAAGATTGTTATTGCCCAGTAACCTGGAAAGCACAGAACTCTTAAAGGCAATGGAGCAGACTTTCCCAGCGTAGCCTGTGCCCCACTATCAAAATCATCCTGTACGCTCTTTCAACAGGCATTTAGAATACCATAGCCTAGTTTTAGCCCTACCAAAACACTATTTTAGGGTGGAGGAAATGAAACTTGTGAATAGACATTTTTTTTAAACAACTTTATTGAGACATGGTTGACATACAAAAAACTGTACATATTTAATGTGTACAACTTGATGAATTTGGAGATAAGTACATATCTGTGAAACCATCACCACAATCAATGCCATTAACATATCGATCACCTCCAAAGGTTTATTCCTGCCCTAGTTTGTGTGTGTGTGTTTGTGTGTGTGTGTGAGTTAAGAATAAATGAAGATCTACCCTCTCTTCTAAAGCTTCCCAGGTAGTTTTTTCCTTTTTGCAGTGAAGTTCTAGAAGAAAGATGAAGGAAGACAGTAAAAGTGAGGACCTCAACAAAGATAGTCATAGGAAACAAAAGGTGGACTCTTAGTCCAAAACAAAAAAATAATTCCTTATTCCAGGAAAGAACAAGAAATGTGGTGGAGGTGAGGCATAGTGTTATCATTTCATTAAGAAAAATACATCATAAATTTTCTTAGTGAGGAAAGAAGAAATGAGACAGGTAAAAGAAGAGTGAATGACCCAAAGATGAAAATTCTCTTTCATGTTTACCAGAAGTTAGTGTTAATAAGGTAACTTTTGGTAAGAATTCTGGTATTCCAGGATTAATTTCTAGCTTTCACAGAACCTACTAGAAAAGAAAAATATATAAATAAATATATAAACTAAACTAGTTTTCTGCTAATACTAATGGCTAATGCTTGATATCTTGAAGCAGCAATATTATTATTATTACTGTCAACACGTTCAGCAACTGTGTGTGTGCGCATGTGGTACCAGTCCTGAATTATCCTGTTTTCTGGGTTTGCTTTCATCTTTGTCTTACCTGCTATCTCCCCTTCCACTCTGAAAGATATCTTGTGGTTATCCACAATCAGCACTTCCATCACCATCGCTGGACTGCCAGCTAATACTAAAATTACCCAAAGTCATGTTCTGAGCCCATATCACACTGTGTTTTCTGGGTAAAACTTATAAAATGCTTTTCAAAAAACATGGAGCTTAATCACTGGGAAAATGTAGAGTGCTACAGCCTTCAAATATCAGAAGAGATACTGCTCAACCATTTATGTATAGGTGTCTATTTTAATTTGTAGGTTTGCTGCTGTAGTTTTCTGCAAAAACATAAATGATTTTGTCTTATGAATTACATATGAATTTGCAGAAACACTTCTGAAAGCCGGCTTAGATAAGTCATTTTACTCCATGCTATTTTATACAATGAGCAAAGCAAGGTTTTTATGTTTCATTGAGTAAAATTATGAATAATTTTTATCTGACCTGGGCGTAGAATTAGACTATGGAAAAGATATTTACAGTTTATCATTAATTGTATCTCATCAGATTTATTCTCTACACTTACAGCTCTCCAAAGTTCTTCACCTTTTGAGTTTTCCTATCAAAGGATGTGTAAACTGAATCTGAAATACTAAATTCACATATAAAAGCTTATCTTGAACATTTTCCTATCAAATGACATGTAAACTGAATCTGAAATACTAAATTCACATATGAAAGCTTGTCTTTAACACCTCTGTACAATATGGCACAGGGTCTATTCGTAAACTAGAATTAAAACACATTGGCAGAAAAATTTAAACCCTCTTCTTTTCTTTGAGGTAAATTTGCCTCTAGAATGAGATCTTCCATTTTAAAACCAAGAATAGTGGACAATGGCATCAGAGCATTGCGCTCTGCAAATAGCTCCCACAGTACTATATGTTAACGACCTTTTCTCTACATAATAAAAATATTCAGGATTTATTGACCAACCGAGGCTGTTAGCTTTTAAGCTTTTATATTCTTTTCCTCTGTAGCTACCTTTTTAAAAATCATAAATCTTCAAAGCGGATGAAAATATTATCTGACACAGTATTATAACTTGTTTATATTTCATAGCCTTCACCTCAGCTTTTATTTCCATGCACTCAACTGTGTGCTACAATCCCTGGTCTCCATCAGAACCGGCACTGAAATTTTCCAGACTAATGAACATAATGTTAAAGCAAACAGAGGAAGGTAGCTTGGGGTCAAGAACTAGTGGAAACAAATCATTAATAAATAGCAATTTATGTAAGTACATTTTCCTGTTCTCATAGGATCCTCAATATTCTTCATCGCTCCTTCTTCTTTAGGACTTATTGAGGATTTTTTTCACTTTTCAGTGAGCTACTTACTTTGTTTTCTTAAAAGTACACGTGACAAGACTCTAAAGAGTGGAAACATGAATAATAGTGTACACTGATGTTTTTCAATTGTCACATGTAACTCCTCTAGTTCAATTAAAAAAAAAAAAGGCCTATTTGCAACATACTCTCCTTTTCTGCAGATGAACAAAGGAGTACTCCTCACTAATTCTGAAAGTAACTTGTCACAGTGGGGTTCTAAGGCCTAGTCAAATAATTGTCTTAGTGTACTACCTGCTGTGTTCAATATTGAGTGAAAATGGAAGCCGGGACCCAACTCCAGCTTATTTCACAATTCTTCTGTTATTTAAATGATTTTAGTCAGTTTGGGGGAAGCCAGACCTTTATAAATTAACAGCAGGGAAATACCAAAGGTGTCAGATTGCATATTTATCATCTTTTTCGTGTAATACTTAAATATGTATTAAGAAGTGACTGACATAAATTAGGCAGATTTCAGAAGCCACAGGCCGTGGCTTGTAGAGGACCCCCTTCTGCTTGACATTTCATCCTTGTCAAAGATCAAATTATTTTAATTTAGGCTGCAAATTATAAGGAATGAAGACTTCTTTGTGGGAATTCCCTGTGGTAATCTGACTTTTGTTGTTACTGCTGCTTGTCAGTGTGCAAAAGATATAATATGCATGCAAATAAGGTTAAAAAATATGTACTATCTAATTATCCAGCCAGTACATTCCACTTGAAGACAGTGGGAGGCCTGACACACAGTATGTGTTTGATTCATTGAGGCCTGCAGGGTATTTACACAAGATTACTTTTAATTATGAAATTAATATCTGTTTATCTAGAATATATAGCAGTAAGTGAGTATACACATGAGCAGAATTCTTTAGTAAAAAGAAATCATCTTAGTTTAATACAGGAAAAGGAGGAAAAAATCCTTGTTTCTAGGGGAAAAAAGCATCATCCAGACCTTGGTTTCACCCTCATTGAAACAAACTGAATGAAAACTTGGCACTTTCTCTAGAATTTGTTTCTAGCCTTGCCAAGTAGGCTCAAGACATGTTGCTTTTTTTCACTGTTTTTATATTATAGTGAATAAGATGCAGTCTTAGACTCAGCATGGTGAGGCAAATGTGGGGATAGAAGGTTTTGGTTTTTGTTTTTATTATTTTGGTGGAGCATTATGTCTTCTAGGTTCAAAAGAGAAAGAATGATGAATAGTATCAATGTTTTTTCTGTAATAAGACATGGCAAATAAAACAATCCCAGTGCAGATCTACTTTAATTTATGAAATGCGTATCCTTAACAAAGTTATTTGTAAAATAAAGTGTTATATGTTTACATCTCTTCCCATATTGACTTATGTTAAAAAAATGGGAGAACAATATCTGGGATATATTTATAACAACTAACATTTTAGAAAACTCAAAGCAAATGAATAAATAAATAATAATTCTAAAAATATAGTGTAGCCTTATCACTCAACACACATGTCAATCAGTGGAAACGAACTGAAAATTCGAAAAATTAAAAGGTGATCTCTCTGAATATAGGAAAGCATTGTCTGTTAGCAAGTTCCATATTTTTCATAATCAAAAGGGTGTTTTGTCACCAAACAAAAATATCTGTCTGACTAATTGTTTATGTTTTTCAATCTATTGATACAGCAGCTATAAAATAATGATGGGTTGGAGGTTGCCTTTACTGCAATCTTGGCATTTCCCTCACTAAGCCTGCCTGGTCCTCCATATTCACTTAGACAACTGTGCCTCTAATTGCCTTTGGCACTCTGCTTGGAATTTAACCTAGTCCCAGAAACCATCCTTGGTCTTCCCAATGTAGTTCACATCTCTTTGAATTGCTATTTTGTACTTTACTTTTACTTTTTCGAAAGTCTCTTAAGCTACTTCTTTTCTGCCCAAAAAAGTGGGACTGTGAATTATGAATTGTTTCTTTACTTTCCCCTAACAGTGCCTTGCAGTGTATTCTAAATAGAGGCAATCGTTAAAATTTCTGCCTGAAATTTGACCAAACATCCCAGAATCAACCTCTCTGTAACACACTGGAAGTTGCAGCTGGTTATATATACAGACACCAAAGAGTGTCCCTCCCTAAGGTTTTCTGTAAACAAAGACACACAAGTGATTTAATCTGATCATTTTTAAGGACTATTAATGATAACTGGTTAATGTCAGTGGTTGCTTTATCTTTTATATTGACATTTAGGGTAACCATTTAAGCGTTCTTGAAAAGTTTATTTAGACATGACAAGATTATGGGTTTAAAAGCTCTTGTTAAAAGATAAGGGAATGCTAAAGAAGAAATCAAGGAAAGAAAGATGAAACATTTTAGTGTTTCTGTTCTTTTCTTTTTATTGATCAGTGTGATGGAGTACAGATAGATATAATAAACATCTCTCTGGAAGGAATTGCTATTTTGAATATACCAAGCATGCATGGAGGATCCAATCTTTGGGGAGAGTCTAAGAAAAGACGAAGCCATCGCCGAATAGAGAAAAAGGGGTCTGACAAAAGGACCACGCTCACAGATGCCAAAGAGTTGAAGTTTGCAAGTCAAGGTAAGTTTTCTAGCGCTTACTTGTTAAGTTGCTTCTTAATCTGCCTTCAAAGGCTGCTTTAAAATGAAAGAGTTTTCCATTGCACTTTAGTTTATATATTTATGCAGTTGTATTTTTCACATTATCACATATTAATGTACAATTAAAATTATATCATAATAGATTCTAAAATATGTATAAACTGGCTATATTTTTCATGGATTTTTTTTTCCTTCTTTATTCTCCATCTTTGGATAGAGCTCTTCCCACAGAAAATAAAATACATGTGGGTATTTAGGGATAATAATATAGGATATATTGTACATTAAGTTCTGGAATGTGATTGTCTTGGTTAGGATGTTTGAGTTGCTGTAACAAGGGCCTAGTTAAGTCTTTTCTAAGGCTGTCTTGTAAGATTCCTTATTCTTGGCTTTTTTCAGTCAGGCTATGATGTTGAAGCTATCTTTCATTAAGCTATTCTTCTAAGTATCACATATAAAAGCATGTTTAAATATCCCACAATAAATTTTGGTTACTTGCTGCTATTTTTCCAGAAATTTAATAACAACAAGTAGGAGACCTGGAAAACAGAGGGCAAAGAACTAACAAAATAGGATAGAATAGCTATGGATCAGAATTTTCAACTCCATTGTAATATAATTCACATTGGGACATGACAACTAATTCTTGTTGATAGATTTTATAAACAAAGATATCAAATTGGTAGTATTTTAATAATTAATCCTGTCCCAATAATTTATGTATATCATCCATAGTATTTCTTTTACATTCCAGAATCTACCTAACACCAATGATGACATTCAGACAGCCAAGAAAACATATTGGCTCGGCACAGTGTAGCAAAGAAAAAATATGAAGAGTTTACAGCCTTCTGGGCCTAACAAAAACAAATAAATATATTTTTAAATAAATAAATGTGAGGGTAATTGGTAGGCTTGATGGTGGTGTGAAATACCTTCATGTTTTGTTGGTAGGCAGTGACTTCTGTTATATGGAATTTGGTGGCTATGAGGATGACAAAGATTGACAGAGAAAGTATTAGGTATCCTCTCGAAAGAGGTGCTTATTACAACCTGCCAGTGACAGAAGGTTTTGACCCCCCATAAATGTATAGGTAATCCTAAAGAGATAAATCCTGAAGAGTCATGTAATGTAGTACAAGCAAGATTACACCAAATAAATTAAAATGCTTTATACTCAGAATGAATATAACTGTTTGAAAAAATGGAGGAAAATGTTTTTTGAAGGAGAAATATATAGAAAAAATGAGTATATTTGTGCTATGTTAATTTAAAGATTTTATTTATTTATTTTCCCCCCAAAGCCCCAGTAGATAGTTGTATGTCATAGCTGCACATTCTTCTAGTTGCTGTACGTGGGACGCGGCCTCAGCATGGCCGGAGAAGTGGTGCATCGGTGCGCGCCCGGGATCCGAACCCCGGCCGCCAGCATCGGAGAGCGTGCACTTAACCGCTAAGCCACGGGGCCGGCCCTGTGCTATGTTAATTTAAAAATGAGGGGAATTAGGTATAATTATTAATTTCTAGGAGTTATTGACATTAATATTAGGTTTATGTTTAATGTAAGATTAGTAGATTTCTAAGAAGATTAGTAAAAATTTTCTAGGCATTAAAATTAGTTCAAAGACCATACTAAGATCAAACTTAAAAATCTACTTCTTTCCCTAGGGAATCAATGAGTACGTAGATATTACATGGCAATATAGCCTACATAATTAAAAAAGAGTATTATATATATTATATATAATAATTTCCAGGTTTATTTTTCTGTTTGGTGACTTCATACCAATACTTGGCATGTCCTTTGCATGTAGACATTCCAGATATGTATCTGAATTTATTTTCAATGTTCAGCTGCCAACTATGTTCGCACACTGAGCTGTTGAAGTCTATAAGACTCATGGCTGTGCTCCACCAGGACAAGTGTCTGTACACCTGCTATGGAGCTGCTGCAGATATGCCGTTTGCTGGCTTCACTCACCCCTTTTTGTATGCTTTTTTCAGGGATACACTTTTGGAATAAAGCACAGACAAATCAGCCAAAAGTGTTCTCACAGTGCCCATAACTGTAGGAAAAGGTATCTCTTCCCATTCTGTCTTCTTGTTTTCTATTATGGAACTCTTAGGACCAAGTTTCTATAAACTTGGGAAAGAAAAAAAGTGGGAACCTACAGGTTTTGTGCCTAAGGAATACGTTTTTCTCAGTACAAACATGGAGAAAAACAGGAGAAATCAGAGTTTTTGAAGATCATTGTATGAGCAATAACAGAAGCATATTCATAATTGATTCAGCTCAACTTTTTGTTCCATCTCTTAACCGACTATGCTTGTAGTTTGGGTTTAGATTTAGTTCAAGATAAGTATAATTTCATTGCTAAAGATGAGTTTATCAATAGCTGAATATAAAAAAATAGACTATTATATATTAATCAGTCTTTCCTTTTTATTAATTTTATCAAGAAATTTTTTTTTAATTTTGATATATTTTGCAACAGAATGTCAAAAGTATCGCAAAATGCGCCTAAGTTTTGATTTCAAATTTATTCTCTTAATTCTTAAATGTCATACTTAGTAGAAGTGAAATTTACTACTTAAAATACCTACATTTACTAAATGGTAAATATTTCTATCATTTGATTTTGTTTTTAATTTCTTGATACAAAAACAGCAATAGTATTAAGTGTGAGGGTCAATCAGTGTTTTTAATCTAAATATATTTTCAAATTTACACAAAAGGATTACAAGTATTGACTTTAGAGTGAAATATGGGAAATATAACTCTAACGCAACATGTTTCTTTAACCCAGATTCAAATTAATATCTCTTACTCTTAGAAAATACATGAGTAGAAAAATGAAAAATTTAATAATGTAACTTCCTTCTTTTTCAGGAAGCACTTTCTTGGAATATTAACTAACAACTTTTCTGATAAGCCTCTGTAAAAAATCTGAAGTTTAACCAAACTTTTTACTATATTGGAATGGATGTTGTTTTCATAAACTTTAGAAAGCTTTTGGTGGGAGTGTGGAGAGTAGGGGAAGCATACATAACTAGATTCTCGTAATAAAGATAAAGTATTTTACTTAGTAGAAGGATGTAAATTAAAACAAAGTTTACAGGGTTTTTTTTTTTTTTTACTTAAAAATATGTCATACACCAAAGGTACAGGATCAGGTTTGGAGCATTAAATCCTCATTTACATAATGCAGTACACAATCTGGGACTCCTACACAATGAATTTGCTTGCAATCTTTGAGGACAGTCACAGCATAAGATAAGAGTATTTTAAATTATTAAATTCACTGGTTGGAAATTTTATGGTTGATTTAATTTGAGTTGACCAAAATGATAAGTACTTCTTTTGGTACTTCTTTTAATTATATCATTGTTCCAGAAAAATATTCTAAAACAGTTGGATGCAGTTCTGAAAGATATTCACACTCACACTCATCTAATTCAGTAGATATTTTCTTTGTGGGTTTGTCTTTTGTTTTTTTGGTGGGCTTTTTTTTTTTTTTAAATACAAATGAGTGTATTATGTATAGATGGTATGGTCTTTAAGCAAAATTGTAAACTAGGCCAAGTAGGTCTTCAGTGTTCTTAGCCTTAATATTCAGTCTTCCCCATTTCTTACAGTTGCTGAGTTGATCTTTGCTTCCATCTCTTCTGAATTAAATCCAAGCCTCAGAAAGATGTCTAGTAAATTCATTCACATTAATGTATAAATGACTGATTGCAGGTGAAAGTAGAGGTATTAGCATTTTGAAAGAAATAAAGGCCTTCAGCTAAACCATTATTTTTCAAACTCTGTTCCACTGAGTTATAACTGCAATTCTTCAGAGGTTCTATAAAAACTTAGCTGAAATTCATTATTGCCGTATTTGAAACAACAAAAACCTATTAAAAACACATTAAAGTGTGTATTCTGTACAATCATTTTGTCATATTAACAATTCTCAAATCATTAAATTGTGTTACTAGACAAAAACAACTTCCACTCTCCCTTCTGCTCCTCCTCCTCCTCTTCTTCCTTCTCGATCAATTGATCAATATATCAATAATTGCATGAAAAGATAGATATGCATATTCACACATTTTATATGTGTATACACATATAAATAAATAATAAATATTTAATAAGGATAATTGTATAAATGGGTACATTACCACCATGATGCATGTAAATTGCATACAATTAAAAGGCTTGCAAACTCAGGTATTTTTGTTTGGCACAGGCAACAAACAGTGCATAACAATCAATGGAAATGAAAACAAAGTGACAATGCTAACATTTTAAATGAAAATAAAAATCACTTTTTAGAAAATTTTTTGCTCATAAAGAAATTGCATTAGTTAACTAGCTCCCAGAAATAACAGGCTTGTACTAGCTTATATCAAGTGCACTTAGTTATTTATTTTTTTGCTGAGGAAGATTAGCCCTGAGCTAACATCTGTTGCCTATCATCGTCGTTTTGGCTTGAGGAAGATTACGCCTGAGCTAACATCTGTGCCTGTCTTCCTCCACTTTATATGTGGGTTGCCACCACAGCATGGCTGATGAGTGGTGTAGGGCGGCACCTGGGATCTGAACCAGCAAAGTTGTGCTGCTGAAGTGGAGCGCACCAAACTTAATCACTACGCCATGGGGCTAGCCCCTATCAAGTGCACTTTTATCATTGTGATATTAACATTCTCACAAGTGCAGGTAAACAGCCAGCAATGAAATGGAAACAAAGTTTCAATAGTTAAAATGTCCATACTTCCTAAAGTAATCTATAGATTCAATGCAATCTCTACCAAAGTTCCAACAACATTTTTCACAGAAACAGAACAGAGAGTCCTAAAATTTGTATGGAACAACAAAAGACCCCAAATAGCCAAAAGAATACTGAGAAAAAAGAACAAAGCTGGAGGTATCACACTCCCTGATTTCAAAATATATTACAAAGCTTTAGTAACCAAAACAGCATGGTACTGGCA